GTTCAATAAGTATAAACTTAAAGGGCGATATAGTCGTCACATTATACCTGCGAGCTGGCTGAGTTCAGTCACTCTGGCTCTGAGAGTCTCGAGCTCTTTCTTCAGCTCTGGCAGAGATGACAGCTCCTCCTTCAGCTTTGCATTTTCTTTTTCCAGATCTGCTTCACCCTTTTTATCACCACTTGCTGCTAAAGCCTTCAGTGCTGAGTCAAGTTCTTCTTTCTTAGACTGAGAAATATGGTCAAATAGTGACAGTTTATAACGTGGACAAAGCTGTAGGTAAATTAAGGTGCTGCACAAGTTGTTTAACAATTAAAAACATTCATTGAAACATCATAAAACCAATTAAAACTAAATAATTAGCATCAGTGTGACTCCATACTGACCTGAAGTTGAGCCTCTAGCTGAATGATTTGTTGGTTTTCCTGTGTCAGTTTATCCAATAGCTCTTTCATATCCTGTGGATCACTGCTAAGCCCGTCCTGGATTTAAAATCATTGGCACATGAATAGAACACATATTTTTAAAAAATGTCTATTTCTTTATGTTTGTTTTTTAAAATTTTAATATCACATGATCATGTGAAGTAGGAATCTGTGGAAACAGACCTGGCTTTGTTCTCCGTCACTCAGATCGGAGGCGTCAAAGTCACCTGTCAGACAGGAAGACAACGTTTTAGAACGAGTCCTTCCACAGGCCCTTTCACTGACACACAACTGCCATGCTGCCTTTCAAGATGCTCAAGTGAACTTTATGAGCTCAGGCCACTCTCTGCACACCACACCAACTGTTTTTCTTTTCCATTTCATTAATAAGTATGGCATATTTTGCCTTGAACACAGTGTGACTGCATTAGACACATTCCCATTTAATTTAAACCACAGAAAACATTCAGTGAGTCCTTCAAAAATATTATAAGGAGCGTTAAAATTCCGAATGCATGTTATTTGCCTTTTTCTGCTGCTGCAGCATCAACTGTCAGCCCAGATAAGTGCTTGGGCAAGCTATTGAGCATTAGCCAGTGAGGGCAGAAGCTTACACTGCTGCCTTATCTTTAGCTCTGGACCTACCATTATCCAGGTCACTGTGGAAGCCTGTTGACATAGTAGAGCTTAGTCAACAAGATCTGAAAGCAGACATCTAACTATTGCTGACAACAGCAAATAAAGGTGCTTATGTAACTCGTAAATACTGTCATTGTCAAACAGAAACTGTGAAATGATGGAAATTTATGGCAATATTTACTCTAAACTCTTAATGCTGCCTAACACTGCCAAACTCTGATGCTGTGTAGGAAGATCACAGTTTCTTTTCTGACATTTTAACATACAGTGCTGTGCTAAAGTCTTGAGCCAACCCCTCATTTCTTTATGTTTTGATGGGACACAAACATATACCAAAACACAGCATATGAGACAAAAACAGAGCTTGTACAATTCTAAAAAGTCTGAAAGTTGTTTTCTGAAGATTCATCTAAAGAAATGGAAAAAATTATCTGTTTTTTGCATCAGGCTGCTCATAAACACCGTTGTTTTCTTTTCAGTTGTGTGCAGACAAAACACTGGTGCGTCCGTTTATGCTTGAATGATTCATAGGCCAGAGGACTCTGAAAATGGTCAGGAAAACCTGAGAACTATTGCTCAAAAACACTTTAAAGCAAAGTTTAAAGATACAGTGTGGCTCAAGATTTTTGCACAGTTCTATAAATATTATAATTTATGGTATTAAAACATTCACTCTTACTGTTAATGTGCAGCATACAAATTGTAGCCACAATACTGCACAAAATCAAACAATAAAAGCAGAACCAAGCTAGCTACCTTAGTTATGAGAGGAACTGACCTGAGAGAAAGAGGGAACCTAGAAATAGCAAGACCAGAGCACCCACAATGCATTTGTTCAAGGAGAACCATGGCTTTTCCTCCTTCTTCTCAGCCAGCTTGAATTCTACTTCCTCTTCCTCATCCTCCTCGTCTGATGTTCTTGGTCTCTGTGCCTCAAAGGTGGGCACATTTCTCCGCCGCAGTCCATCATCAAAGCTGCCAGTGTCACCCGAGTCATACCTAATGGAAGGCTCTAAGAAAGGAAAAATGTAAGAAGAAAATAAGAAGAAATTCTAAGCATGAGAAAGAAATGGCAAGACAGCAAAGATGTGTCATGTTTTCTGATGTATTTTTGTGACAGATGATGATAATGTGCCTAAACCTAAACCACATGTATTCAACTGTGGGCTGGAGTCACTTCAACAAATCATCTCAACATCTGTGGCATCTTTGTCAGAAGTGAATAATTATGTGCTGGCGACTTCCTCACGCAGAATACCAGACTCTAAGTGAGCAAATGAGCTGCAAAACACAACAGCGTGTAAACAGCATGTGAAAAGTGTCTGACAAAAAAAGCGATTGCTGGTTCTCAGAATGGATGACATTTTCTCACTAAATTACAACAACAGTAATTTCATGCATGGGGGTTTCTTCATTTTCTCAGTGGGGTGTGGGCTCTCCTGTCATACTGATAAATCACTTTCCAGCTGCTAGCGAGACATAGATAAGAAACATGTTAACAAATTCTCTCATTTTTCTGCTTTTTCCTATTATAAAGCACCACTTACTTTCCTCAAAAGCTGCAGAGGCAGCTTGGAAAACCTTCTAAGAGCCTCAGAGCCTGGGACCCAGATGCTCATATTTAAAGGCAGGATGCTCACTGTATGTCACTTTACAAATAAGATCAGCTGTAATATTGTTACACAGGTACAACGTTGACTTAAAATGTCATCTTATCTTGGGATTGAGAATAAAAGAGGGTTACTGTGTCAAAATCAAGCTTTAATTTTATTTATACAGCGCCAAATCACAACTACAGTTGCCTTGAGACTCTACAATAATACATACAGAGAAAAACCCAACAGTCATATGACCCCCTATGAGCAAGCACTTTGGCGACAGTGGGAAGGAAAAACTCCCTTTTAACAGGAAG